TTTTTATTTTTTTTCAATACCATTCACTGCAAGTGCTGAGAGCATGAATATCCAGGATGACACTGATGCTGACGGGCTACAGAATTACCAGGAATACCACCTGACCAACTTCATCTACTGTTCTGTGAAGGAATCCACTCTAAGTGAGCAAAGTGCCAGGATGACAGCCATGGGCAATAAGAGCGAGAATGTGTCTTGACCTGATCAGCAAATTGACTTTGACTTTCAACTACACCCCCCAGGCTGTCATCACAAAGGAGTTGATTGAAATGTCTCTGGTGCTGTAGCTCTGGATTAATGAAAATCAAGTTTCATCCTCAGACAAGCAGTGAAGGAGGAAAATTCAGCCAGTTGATTTTGTTTTTAGCTTACTGCTGTCCTGGTCAGAAGAAATTATTGGTCCATTGCTTAAATTACTAAGGACAGCAAGATATTTGTAAATTATCTTATAAAAAACAACTTACAATAAGAAGAAAAAAAGTGATCTGGGTAATTCTTACCATTTGGTAAGTTTTGCCAGCACTAGACTAAGTGATCCTTGAACTACCTGTCCTTCCAACTCTGATTCTATAGTATCTGGATATTTCATAAGGATGTTCTAAAAATTAATAAACATATTAACAAATATGCCCATCTCCCAACCCCAATACCATTCATACCTTATAAACACCCATGAAAATATTCTCCTAGATACTAGGCAAGTGGAATACTTTATTTGGTGGTGAAAACAAAGTTCTTAATATTATACTCTCAGCACATTAATATGGAAGGACTTGTGTTGTAGGAAGAGAGAATTGTACACCTAATATTTTAAGTGAAAACTATACACTGCATTCTTCCCTTGAAGAACAACATTATCTGGTGATTCCACCTGTTCCTAGCTAAGAAATAGCTAGAAAACAGTCTGGCTAAGTCCCTAGTAGCTATAAAACTGCTCAGTAATACTGGAATGCAACTGTTTCAAAGCTAAAAGTAAAAAACAAAAGAACAATAACTGGTTACTAATGCTTCAAATTCAACAGTGTCAGCAACTAGGTGGCTAAGAGCCCCCAATATGTTAGGAAGGTTTTAGTAAATCAAAGCCTGTAGAATGCTTTCCACACACAAAGGTAGCAATCTTTAATTTAGCCCTTCCTTCCGCAACACCATAGACCACTCCTCTAAAATTCCCATAATCTTCTAGTGGGATTTACTTGTATTGTCTTATTTAAATGTATAAGTAACAAAATAACAAAAAGAAAAAGAGAGAGAGCCTGATTGCATGGAGTGCAGAGGGGCAGAGCTGCAAAGGATGTTCATGGGTGAGCAACTATCACATAGGTGGCTACAAGAAGGGTCAATAAAATCAAGATTAAAACACAAAAGGGCGTTTAAATCACTCTTGCCACACAAACAGATAAAGAACTAAGAGTAAAACATTACCACATACTTGAGCTATTAGGAAAACAGTGCAGAGTAGCTCCCTTAAAGCGCTACATACTGATACACTAGGTTAGTATCAACCATGTTCCAAACGAATCTTGATGCTTGACGTGGAAATACTAATTAGTTACTAGTCTGGCACACAGGCCAAAAAGTGATTTGCTTTAATGGCAAAAGTGGGGACACCAACTACTTTGTACAACATCACAGAAGCACTGAGTTTAAAGTCAGACATATGCATAAGTACATTTCTCGGTCTGTCACCCAGCAGGCTCTGAGGCAATGTTTTGACCAAACCTTACACTCAATTAAAATAGAAATGTAAAATCAGATCCAGGGGGCCAGCATAATAGTGTGGTTAAGAGCACAAGGTTGCCTGTCACACAGACCTGTGTTAAAATCCCAAATCAACAAATTACCATGTGACCTTGAATAAGTCACTTAAACTAAACCTCGACTTCCTCGTTTGTAAGCGGAGAGAATGCTTCACACTGTTATTACAAAACTTAAACAAGGTGATTCATGTAAAGCATTCAGCCTTATAGCTGGCACAGAGGAAATAAGCAATAATAATAAGCTAGCTGTAAAATTAGCATGATACTGTCTTTCAACCTCAAGTAAAGCTGAGTTTCCTGGCAGCCAGACAAAAGTTCTAATCATTTGAAAAAAGACATTCCCGTATACTCATAAAAAGGTAGTTTTTCATTTCTTTCACATTACAGGAACTTCCCCCCTCCTTAGTAAAGAATACTTCAGACTAATAACCTACAACTATACACAGGAAAGGCTTCAATGCAGACATTCTTCATTGGGAAGGACAATTTTCATGATCTAACCAGTTTCGGCGAGTTAATAGTTGGTACTGTTAGGAGAAAGAGAGAAAGAGAAGCATAAGAAGTCCAACCCACACACCACTCTGTTCAATAGAGGAAAAACAACAGTTGACTATTTGCATTGTTTCGTAATTGAGTTAGAAAATGAAGAAGAAAGCAATCAGGTGAAATATTTTAACTCACACACAGCTATTAGTAAGGCTAAAGTGACCAAACTCATCAAAAAATATCAAGAGCCTGGTTGGGGTTGCTCAGTAATTGAGCATCAACCCATTGAACCAAGAGGTCCACGATTCAATTCCTGATTTGGACACATGCCCAGGTTGAAGAAAACCCACTAGGAGATGTGCAAAAGGCAAGAGGATGTCTCTCTCTCATGGACGTTTCTGTCTGTCTTCCTCTGGCTCTGAAAATCAATAAAAACATATTTTTTTAAAAAGACCAAAAAAAGGTGAAAAATCAGTTATTCCCAGAGTTTAAGTAACACCTGCCCATTCTACCCTTTTAAGGTCATGGCTCAAATTTCCTAAGTGCAACTTTTTCCATTCTTCCAAACATGCCTCTAGCTTAAATGGACCTTTAACTTGTACTGTCTCCTTGACTAAATACATTACTCTGGCTAAGGGCAAAAATAAAATCTTGTGCATTATTATTTTTTTAGAATTCAAGAGAAAATATTACTCCTTCAATTACTTAATATGTTTCAAAAATACTGAGAGATCATTTAGGGGGTGGGGGTGGGGTGGGGTGGGGATGGGGGGAGAGACGAGTTCCTCATGAAAATAAATCAGTCAGGAAAACTGTTCAAGGACAGCCAAAACCAAATTTCAACAAAAATGCAATTTTGAAATTTTGAGTTAGGAGCAGGCTTTAATGAGTTGTGAGGTACAGAACTAGATTTCAAAGAAAAAAGATACATAAGCGAATTAAAGGCTTCTGCAGGGAGTACACATGGCTATCACTCCATCAGATGTGCAAAAACTCAATAAAAAAAACACACAGAGAATAAGTTCTCTGTCTAAATATTGGGAAATCTAACAACAGAAAGAAAATCAAGTATTTCACAGGCATTTTCGAGCATTTAAAGATATCCTCCTGTATTACAGATATTACTACAAAATGAAAGAGACTGGTTAGATGGTCTAATTAACAACTCGGCAGGGAAAGAATAATGCCATGGCCAAAAGTAGCTCTGTCATCTAGAGATAATGGACAGTTTCTTTTGACTGTTTAAGAACCCAGAAGAATCTCCTCCTGCTTTTAAATGCAAATTACCAATCTCAGAAGCACATTCTGCTCTATTCCTTTATCTGAAAATTACTGCAATGTGGTCCTCTTCCAGAGAGGACCCCATTCAGGCAGGAAAATGGAATTAGGACAACCACACACTCAGTAAGTGTGCTGAGATCGTCGTCACATACAGTGAGCTGTCCCCCTGACACGTGGTCTTTTTCAGTGGAGAGACCAATATCTGTGATCAAGATTCTATTTGAAGAAGGAAAACTTAGTTTTGAGGATTATCAGGTTTACAAAGTTTATATAGACATTTTAATATATGCATACGCAATTTAAAAACTCAACATCCCTTGGTTTTCAAATAAGGACACAAGCTATTTAATGGAAACTTCTTAAAGGCAGAAGTTCGGTAATAATGGTATGACTTGCTATTTAATTGTACATTATATGGTAAAACAAACAAACAAGCAAAAGACCACAATGCAAGAAAAGAGAGCGCCTCAGACCCCGCACTTCCCTTCCCTGTTAAAACTCTCCCCGTAAAGTGGATGCTGACTTGGAGGCATACTGCAATTTAACGTACCGGGTGCTCAAGGTTAAAAGGAACACGTTTACACCGGAAAAACTCAAGGAACAAATAAGCCATAATAAAGGGATTCATCCCATTGTTAAAAGCTATCGTTTTCTGCCAAAACCACACTTGATTTGGGAAATTTTATTCGGTGTCAGGTAAATATAAACAAAGAGTGAAGAATGCTAGACAAAGAGTGAAGAAGTTATAGCCTCATAAAAGGTTAACTTACCTCTAGTCTTTCCAAGTTATATATTAATAAAGTACTTTAGTGTTTTAAAAAACCTCTTTTCTAGTTAAGGCAAGTCACATCCAAATGAGTGAATTTTTTGTGTGTGTGACACCGGTTTATCCCACCCCCTAGCATCAAAGGCAGACCTCAATCTTCCTTCCCCCACAGGTCACCCGGCAACCAGGCACAGAAGCTATTGAAAATGCAACTTCCAATCTCTGAAACGTCAGTGAATGTTCAAGGAGGAGGAAAGGGATTGCATTGAGTTTAGAAAAGCTATTTAAGTGTTTTACCAAATGCCTGCGATTAGTACATGTCAACCTAATGGCAGAGCATGGCATTAGCCGCCCCCTCCTTTCGCCTACCCACTCAGAACCATGGCAATGAATGCAGCAGAGCACTGAAGACCAGAGAGCCGGAGGAGTATCATGCACAGAAAATAGGAAGCCTGCGTTGTTTTTTTTATGGGGGGGGGGGGGGGGAGCAAGGGATGGCAGTCTTGTGCTTTGAAAGAACCTAGAAGCGCTTCCTAGTTCAACCCATCCCCCAATCCATGCCACCCTTTCAACTTTTGTCATTCAGAAAGAGGAGAAATTCCGGTCAACTCGCCTTGGGGGGTTGGTCTGAGGGTTGAGGACTCAAGCAGGGAGGGAGAGGGTGGAGAGAGAGAAAGAGCAAGCCAAGGAAAGATACCAAAATCTCCCACCTTTCTTAAATTCCTCCAGCATAGCGTCCAACTTGGTGTCATTGAAAACAAAGTGCAAGGGGTGGTTATAAAACTTAGTGATGGTTTTCAGGGGAGTACAGTCATCCGGATCCACGAAGGCCAAGTCTTTCACGAAGAGCAGATCCACGATGTTGGAGCGCTCCCCCTCGAACACCGGGATGCGCGTGTAGCCGCTCTCCATGATCTCCGACATGGTGTTGAAGTCCAGGATGGCTTCCCCGGTGATCATGAAGCAGTCCCGGAGGGGGGTCATCACGTCCTCCACCGTCTTGGTGCGCAGCTCCAGCGCCCCTTGGATGATGTTCAGCTCCTCCTTGACGAGGTCGTTGTAGGGGTCCGTAACCCGCAGCATCTCCAGCAGCTTCTCCCGGTTGTAGACGGTGCCTATCTCCTGGCCCAGGACGCAGTCCAGCAGCTTGCTGACCGGGTAAGAAGCGGGGAAGGTCATCATCATGAAAAACTTGGTGAGGAAGATGGTGTTGGCGCCCACGGCCAGGCCGTGGCGGGAGCAGATGGCCTGGGGCACGATCTCGCCGAAGATGACGATGCCGATGGTGGAGACCACCACGGCCACCAGGCCGGAGCCGGCGATGTCGTCCAGCAGGATGGTGAGCGTGGTGTTGACCAGCACGTTGCCCAGCAGCAGCGAGCACAGCAGGTAGTTGCCCTGCCGGCGCACGGGCTCGATGCGCTTGGCGTAGTTCTTCTCCTTCTCGGTGCCGCAGTTCTGCACGATGCGCAGCTCCATGGGGTCCAGGGCCATGAGCCCCAGGTTGAGGCCGCTGAACATGCCCGACAGGCACAGGAGCAACGAAATGAAGATCACCTGCAGCCAGAAGGGCAGCAGGAACTTCTTCTCCTCGCCCACGATCATCTTGGTGTCCTCGCCGTCGTGGTAGATCCAGGTGGTCTCGGCCCACGGGGGCGGCGGCAGCCCGGCCACCCCGGAGCCGCCTTTGCCCCCGACGGTGCCCCCCGCGGACCCCGGGCCGCCGCCGGTGCCCAGGGCCGGCGTGGACAGCGACGTGCACAGGTAATAGGACTTGCTCTTCTCCATCTTCCGCAGCGGCTTTATCTCTATCTCGATGATGCCCGAGGTCCGGCGGTTGAGGATGATGTGGGGCAGGATGATGATATCGGACGTGCGGATGCCGCAGCGCTGGGGGCCGCTGTCCGGCTCGGGCGGCGCGGGGCCCCCCAGCCCGCGCTCGCCGGGGCCGTGGCGCCGCCGCTCGTGCTCGGTGAAGGCGATGCGGGACCACGTCTCGTTGTTGATGTTCTGCCCGTACACCCGCAGCTTGACCCGAGTCCGCTCGCTCACCCGCAGCGCCCCCCCTTCCATGAACGACACGTCGTTCGTGTCCTCCAGCCGCAACCCGATGATCACCGTCTCCTCGCTCTCGCCCGCCGCCGCGCAGCCGCCCGCGCCGCAGCAGCAGCTCAGCAGCAGCAGCGGCAGCAGCCGTTCGGCCGCCGCCTGCAGGACCCCCCGGCCGCGGGCGCTGAGGCTGCGGCGCGCCGCCATCTTCCTAGTGGGCAGTGCGGCGACTGCCTGCCCGCCCGCCATCTTTACTCCGGGTTCACAAGAGCCACAGCCAATCATAGGGTGGCTGCTGTAGCTGCGGCTTCATCCTTCCCACCCGGCGGCGGCGCGAGTGCAGGCGCCGGCCCCTGAACGAGACTGCAATGGAGCGTCTGCACCCGGCGCTCGGCAGCGCGCCTCCCTGACTGACACTGACCCGGCGCGGGCCGGCTGAGGAACCTGGAGGCTCGCGGGCGCGGGAGGGGGGAGAGAGGGAGGAGACAGCGCCAGGCGCTCCCACGAGAGGCAGGCTGGCCAGCCAATCAGGAGCGGGCGCCCGCCCTCCCAGCCAGGGGGCTGGAATGGGGGCGTGGCCGCGAGCCGAGCCGCGGGCCAATGGCGAGGCGAGGGGCGGGGAGCTGAGGGCCGCGGTCCTCCTCAGCACGCCAAGTTTCCTACCGAAAGGCGCGTGACTCTTGTGTATGTGCGAGGGGAGGAGGCGTGGCCAGCCGGCCCCGAGAACCAGTCACAGGAGAGAGCTGAATGAGAGGGGCGGGGCCTCCCGTCCGACTGCCAATGAAAAGGGGCGGTCCGCGGGCTAGCGGTTCCCCGGGGAGCCTCAGTAGTAGAACCAGGCATTTGGTTTAACTCGATCGGACTCAAGTCGGGAGGCGCGAGGCGGCTGGTTACTCACTCGCTGCACCGGGTGGGAGCGCCCCAGTGTTGGGTGCCGGTGAAGAGAGGGCTGCGTCTTCCCGCCCCGGCAGCACACTAGGCACGGCTTCAGAGGCGCTTTAGCCTAGATTAGAATGAAGCCGGGGCGCCGGCCGCGGCCCCCTCCTCTAGTCTTGCACGCCCGCTCCAACCGAGACTGGCGGCGGCCGGGCGGCCCGGCCTCGGGCTGACCAGCTCTCCTGGAGCTTTTCGCGTCTCCCCTGAAGGACGCGCGCTCTCTGCAGCTCGCGGTCAGGTGCCGCCACCTGCCGGCAGTCTGGGTGCTCTGCAGCGCTTTCCCTAGTGTGCCCCAAACCCCCGGAGGGTGTGTAACGCGTGGGATTAGAATTGAGTAATTTCCCCATCTTCCAAATAATCTACTGATAGTCTTGCTGAAAGTATATATTCCATGAACCCCCTCGCACACTTACTGAAAGGATAGGACCCGGGAGTCTATTTCCAACAAGCACCAGGCAAGTCTGGGAAATGGGAGAGAGTAGACACATGAAGGTTCTATTTTATGTTTTTGAAATTGACTTTAAAGGAGGAGGAGGAAGAGGAGGGAGAGAAAGGTGAGAGAGAGGGGGGAGAGAGAGAGAGAGATGCGAGGGGACCAAACATGAAACCAGAGCATGTGCCCTGAGGGAACTGGGCCACACCTGCCAGAACTAAAGGCACATTCTTAATCGCACACACCTCATCGCACTAGGTTCAGCATCCCTCAGCAGAAAAAAAAACCCTGAAGACCTAGCTCCCTGGGATTCCCCAGCCCACAGTGTCTGGGGGAGATATGGTAGCAGAATAATTGACAATTGATCTTTTTCTTGCAACTTTAACATCTAAAAAATAATTGTTTCCTTTTTTTATTCTGAAAGCATATTTTCTTCCCTTGCAAACCAGTCAAACATTTTACCAATTTCTGGGAGGGATGATGCAGTGGCCTTCTCACTGGCCTCTCCTCTTCTACACCTGCCCCCTTACCTTCTCAATCCAGCATTCAGTGGTCTCCTTAAATCCGATACTGTTTGCTCCCTTGTTTGAAATTCTCCTCTGGACTTCCCATCTCACATGACTAAAAGCCACAGTACCTACATTTTCTGACAAGGCTCTAAGGGTCTGCTGCCTCCTTTGACTCCTCTGGCCTTATCACCTGCTGCCCCAGCCAGATCCTCCTGGCAGGTTCTCATTCTCGCTGGGATGCTCCCCTGGAAGCCTGTGCACCTGCTCTTGTTTCCTGTGCCTGGGCCTCTTTTCCCTCAGATGTCACCACAGCCCCTCGGTCACCTCCTTTAAGAGTACACAAAGGCCACTTTTACTTTTTTTTAAGAGAATATGTTTGTTTTTGTATATTTTGAGAGAGAGAGAGAGAGAAGCATCGATGTGAGAGAGAAACACCTATCGGTTGCCTCCCATACATGCCCCAACATGGGATCCAACCCTCAACCTGGGTATGTGCCCTGACCAGGAATCGAACCTGAGACCCTTCGGTGCATGGGATGATGTGCCAACCAACCACACCAGCCAGGGCCAAAGGCCACTTTTTTTTTTCTTTTTTTTTTTAACTTGTAAACAAACAGTCCCTCTACAACATCTCTGATTTGTTTTCCTTAATTTAGTTTATTGGCCCAAACCGGTTTGGCTCAGTGGTAGAGCGTCGGTCTGCGGACTGAAAGGTCCCAGGTTCGATTCCGGTCAGGGGCATGTACATTGGTTGCGGGCACATCCCCGGTAGGGGATGTGTGGGAGGCAGCTGGTCGATATTTCTCCCTCATCGATGTTTCTAGCTCTCTGTCCTTCTCCCTTCCTCTCTGTAAAAAATCAATAAAATATATTTAAAAATAAAAAAACATGTAATTTTGCCGAAACCGGTTTGGCTCAGTGGATGGAACTTCGACCTGGGGACTGAGGGGTCCCAGGTTCGATTCCGGGCAAGGGCATGTACATTGGTTGCGGGCACATCCCCAGTAGGGGGTGTACAAGAGGCAGCTGATCGATGATTCTCTCTCATCAATGTTTTTGGCTCTGTCCCTCTCTCTTCCTCTCTGTAAAAAAATCAATAAAATATATATTTTTAAATTTTTAAAAAATTTTTTTTGTCAATCCTCACCCAAAGATATTTTTCCCATTGATTTTTAGAGAGAGTGGAAAGGAGGAGAGAGGGGGAAAGAGAGAGAAATATTGATATGGGAGAGACACTTCCATTGGTTGCCTCCCAACAGTAACTAGGGATCAACCTGCAACCCAGGTGCATGCCCTTGACCAGAAATCAAACCCACAACCTTTTGGTACAACGGGCCAATGCCCTAACCACTGAATACACCAGACAGGGCAAAAAAATAAAAAATAAAATAAAAAATAAAAAATAAAGAAATAAAATAAATAAAATAATATTCATCCTGATTATTTCAAGTAATGTCCCAATTCTAGCTTTTAGACCTTCAACTTCTGGTGCTGCTTCCCTACCTCTAATTCTCATACTTCTATATTGAAAAATAAGTTCATATTTTTAAAACATGGATTCAGAGCCCAGCTCGCTTGGATCAGTAGTTGCATGCCAACATATGAACAGGAGGTTACAGTTCAATTCCCATTCAGAGCACATGCCTGGACTGCGGGCTCGATCCCCGTAGGGGGCATGTAGGAAGCAGCCCATCAATGATTCTCTCTCATCATTGATGTCTCTATCTCTCTCTCCCTCGCCCTTACTCTCTGAAATCAATAAAAATATTTTTAAATGGATTCACAGACTTGGCATGCATTTTTTTAAAATAGCATTATTGAAGATTAGAAGGGGAAAATAAAGCTTTTTAGGAATATCTGACAAAGGTTAAGGATAGATATGTTCCTTCTAAGTCAGCTGATTAAAAATGAAACTTTTAACTTCATAAAAAGTGTGAGTACAAGTGTGTTTAAGGGAGCTGAGAGGGAAGATGATTAAAAGCTTTCAAATGCTGAATGCACACTTTTGGGATGAGTGTGGAGAACAGGGTGGGGGAGAGTTTGCCAAACATACAGACATTTCCTGTGCATTTCAGAGAAGCCTAGAATGGTCAGGAAAGTGTGGCATTCAGCAATTTAGAAGCAAGTTAGAAATTCAGGACATTTTACAATATAAAATAAACCAAACTCAAGCTCATAGGGGATTGCTGAGTAATGTTTATACTGGGTAGAGGGATCATATTGGTCATGTACAGCCAAGCAATTTTTCCTTCGCAAAGGGGATCTTCCCTCAGGTTTGGAGGATTTTTAGTGACAGAGTTACCCTTTCTTTAGTGAGGGGCTGCTGGTGCAGGCTTACGGTGACTTCCAGAGGCTTCCAATCTGTTCATCTGGATGAATGGAGGACAAGGGCAACATTTTCTTCTAGGGATCACTTTTTCAATCTGGAAGAAAAAACACAATAAAACCCTGAATTCTGCCAAAATCAATTTGGCTCAGTGGATAGAGCATTGGCCTGTGGATTGAAAGGTCCCAGGTTCGATTCTGGTCAAGGGCATGTACCTAGGTTGTGGGCACATCCCCAGTAAGGGGTGTGCAAAAGGCAGCTGATCGATGTTTCTCTCTCATTGATGTTTCTAACTCTATCCTTTTTCCTTCCTCTCTGTAAAAACATCAATAAAATGGTTTTTTTTAAACAAAACAAAAAAACACACACCTGAATTCTGAGCATATTTCACCTCCAAAACACCTATAGGAGATCCAAGATTGCTAAATGGTTGCTGCAAAGATCTAATCATAGGTAGGTTCTGACTTTGACCCTAAGCAAGTCATGTAGGTAAAGCCAAAACCTCCTAGCAAACACCTTCCCTAACATTCTCTCTAGTTCTCTCTTCCCTGACTCTCGCTTGCCAGAATCCTTCCCTAGATACTAAAGGGAAGAGAGGCTGTTTAATTTCCTCATCTGCATGGATAAGCTCCCATGTCCACAGTAGGGATCTTGGGAAGGCATGGCATCAGACCTAAAAGTCTTTTAATTGTAGTTCCATCCCAGAGCTTTAAGTTATGATTAGGACTCCAGTCATAAAATGCCGGTTTCTCAGTACCACCTGATTTCATTTCCCTGGACTTTTTTCTACATCCTCTGAAGCAAGCAAAAATTCTACTCCAATAAGAAGTAAAGCCGAAACCGGTTTGGCTCAGTGGATAGAGTGTTGGCCTGTGGACTGAAGGGTCCCGGGTTAGATTTAGGTCAAGGGCATGTACCTTGGTTGCGGGCACAACCCCAGTGAGGGAATGTGTAGGAGGCAGCTGGTCAATGTTTCTCTCCCTTCCTCTCTGTAAAAAAATCAATAAAATATATATTTTTTTAAAAGAAGTCAAACTCCCCATGTATAAATAAACAGTATGTCAACCTCAGTGGAAAAAATTCTATTTTTAGTTCCACTAAGACAGTGGTAGGCAAACTGCGGCTCGCGAGCCACATGTGGCTTGCGAGCTGCGATTTGCCACTCTGATGACTAATGAGTTTGCTGACCACTGACCTAGACTCTCCATTCCAATAATTACAGGCTGTTGTTGTTCCTTATGAATCAGAGGTTACCCCAAAATGTACCTGTAAGGAGATTAGGAAACGTACTAAATAACTCCA